TTACAGAAGCAGCCTGCTCCATCTTTTCCCTGCAGAGTGGCTGATGGGTTTGAACCACTGACCTTTTAGTTAGCACCTAAGCACTTTTGTCACTGTACCACCAAGGCTCCTATTTAGTATATATAGTAGATATAATTATCTGTACCATCTTTCTTTTCATCTATACTGTATGTGTCCTCATATAGTAAGACTGTCTCTTGTACGCAGCTAATCGCAAGATTCTGTTTTGCTATTCGGTTTGACAATCTTTGTCTTTTAAATGGATGAAGTTAATTTACATTGATTCGAGTACAACTCTACTTGTATTCACTTTAACCAACTTTTATTATGAACGTTGTATTTATTCTGCTTTTCTTTATCTCTCACCTTTTATTCTTGCTTTCTTTTGGATTATGGTTTTTATTCACTGTCTTTCCAATTCTTCCCCCTTTACTAGTAGGGAGTTTGTATACTCTCTTTCTATTATTTTAGTGGCTACCCTAGAAATTAAACATGCACATGCAGCGTAGTGGTTACGAGTCGGGCTGCCAACCACTAGGTCAGCAGTTCGAAACTACCAGTATTTCTGCTGGAGAAAGATGAGGCATTCTGCTCCTGTAAAGATTTACAGCCTTGGAAACCCTGTACAGGGTCACTATGAGTCGGAACTGACTCGATGGTACTTAACAACAACAACATGCATATTTAACTTATAAAAGTCTTAACTTAATACTTTAACCACATCCTAAGCAACACAGGACCTTAATACATTTTGACTCCAAACACATACTTCCTGACTTTTGTGCTATAATTGCCAGGATTTTGGCTCTATCTTAAATTTTTTAACTAACAAATTAGACACATTACTATGATTGTTTTTATATTTATTTAACTATTGTTTCATTCTATCCACAATATTGATCTTTGCTCAACATTCTTTTCTGTATTTTAGTCTTCTTTTGGGTCATTTTCCTACTTCTTAGATGACATCCTTTAGTGAAGGTTTAGCTGTGTAAATCTTCTCAGTTTATGTTTGTTGAAATGCCTTTCTTTTCCTCTCATTTTATAGAGCACAGTTTGTTGGATATATATTTATATGTGGACAATTTTTTCTCTTGGTTCTTTGAAAATGTCATTTCAAGACTTTCTGTTTTTTATTATTGCTGTTGGAAGACAGTTTTCAGTCTAATTGTCATTTTTGTTATTGTTATTGTAATCTATTTTTTTCTCTTTTTATGCTTCAATTATCTTTGTCTTCTTTGTTGTTTCCCTGTAATGAGTCTACCTGTAGGTTTAATTTATCCTGTTTGAGGTTCACTGAGCTTCCTGAATTTGAGGATTTGTGTTTTTAATCAATTCCTGAAAATTCTCATTCATTAAATCTTTGAATATTGTCTATATTTCATTCTCTTTCTCTTCATATTCCAAAATTCCAGTAATACCTATTTTGGATATGCTTAGAATAACTTTTCTTTTGGAAGCTCTCACTGTCTCTCTCTATTGTGTAATGGGTCATTTCTCCAGTGCCATCTTCCATTCCACTATTCCGATTTTAGCTGTGTCAACTCTACTGACATTTGTAATTTCAATATTATTTTTATATAATATTTCATCATTATTTTTAAAATATTACCCAATACTATCACTATGTTCCCCCCTCTTCAAACAGTTGCAGCTTTGGCCATTGGGAGTTCTTCTAAACTGGTCCAAAACACTTTCAATATGGTGTTTCTTTTCTTTTTCTTAAAAGCACATGCTGATTTTTAGCACCATATGAAGAAAAACGTGGCATCAGGATTGGAGGAAGACTCATTAACAACTTGTGATATGCAGATGATACAACCTTGCTTGCTGAAAGTGAAAAGGACTTAAAACATTTACTGATGAAGATCAAAGAGCACAGCCTTTGGTATGGATTACATCTTAATGTAAAGAAAACAAAAATCCTCACCATTGGACCAATAAACAACATTCTTATCAATGGAGAAAAGATTCAAGTTGTCAAGGACTTCATTCTTCTTGAATCAACTATCAACACTCAAGCAGCAATCAAGAGATCAAATGATGTATTGCATTAGGCAAATCTGCTGCACAAGACCTTTTGAAAGTGTTAAAGAGCAAAGATGTAAGCTTGAGGACTAAGGTGCACCTGACCCAAGCCATGGTATTTTCAATAACCTCATATTCATGAGAATGCTGGACAGTGAATAAGGAAGACTGTAGAAGAATTGATGCTTTTGAGTTATGGTGTTGGAGGAGAATATTGAAAGTGCCATGGGCTGCCAAAAGAACCAATAGATCCGTTTTGGGAGAAGTGCAGCCAGAGTGCTCCTTAGAGGCCAAGATGGCCAAACTTTGACTTTCATACTTTGGACATTGTCAGGAAGGAGCAGCTGCTGGAGAAGGATATCATGCTGGGTAAGATGGAGGGTCAGAGAAAAAGAGGAAGACCCCCAATGAGATGGAGTGGCCAAGTGGCAGCATCAATGGACTCAAGCATGGCAACAGTAGTGAGGTTGGCCCAGGATCAGGCAGTGTTTCGTTCTGTTGTGCATAAGGTCGCTATAAGTCGGTACTGACTCGATGGCACCTAACAACAACAACTCAAGGTCAGAGGGATCACCCAAAACTCAATTTCCGGACTAACCCCTCCCTGGAGTTCCTGTTATAAGCACATACACAAACACATATGTTGTTGTGGTTAGTTGTTGTCAAGCCAATTCTAAGTTATGGTGATTCCACATGTCAGAGGAGAATTGCTCCACTGGGTTTTCAAAGTCAGGACTGTTTTCTGAGGTGCCTCTGGGTGAGTCTGAACTGTTAACCTTTCAATTAAGTAGCAGAATGGTGAACTGTTTGCACTGCCTGAGGACTCCTAAAGCACATCATGGCACACACAGGGAGGATATATGTCGATCTGCATGTGTGCTTATGTCCCTCTGTGTTGTTGTTGTTAAGTGCTGTCGAGTTGACTCCAACTCATAAGGACCCTGTATAGTGTTTCCAAGGAGAAGCTGGTGAGTTGGAACTGCCAACCTTGTGGTTACCAGTCCAGTGCTTATCTTACAGCGCCACATCAGAACTCTGTTGCTCTGTTCACATATATTTGTTGTTGCCATTGAGTCGGTTCCGACCCATAGTGGCCCTGTATAGGGTTTCCTAGGAGCAGCTGGTGGCTTGAACTGCTGACATTGCAGTTCAAACGACTTTGCAGTCTGGCGCATTAACCCACAGCGCCACACCAGGACTCCGTTCACATATATTTAAGCAGGCTTAATTGTATAGAGCAGTTGTCGGTTGACAGACAAACCAGGAAGAAAGTAGAGAGATTTCCCACATACTCTCTCACCCCTGTACACTGTTCCTCATCACTAACAGTTGTTATAAATGATGACTCATTATTGATACACTATTAACTAAAGCTCATAGTTTGCATTAGGGTTCACTCTGTGCATTGCAAACATATTTTTAACTGTAAACTTCTCTACACTTGCCTAAAAATTTTGAATATTCGTGTCCTGCCTTAGGGTCTGAACTGAAGTTAACAACAAATAAAGGATCACCTCTGCACTGAATCATGTGTTCAGCATGAAGACAGAGATCTGGAGTAGCTTAACCTGAGTGGACATGATGCCTAATTCAGGGCGTCGCCGATGTGACAGGGACTTCTGTCTTAAGGGAGGCATCCATAGCCACTCCCGGAAGTGAGAATTCTCCGTGGCACTGCTAAACCTGCCTTTGAAAGCCCTGCACGTGATATGTTGAGATTTAGGGGGAGGGGAGGTTGAGCTCAGAGATAAAATTGAAACAGTAAAGGAAAATCTACCTTCAGTCCCTAAATTCTCCTTGCCCTGCCCCTTGGCCTTATGTTTCCTTGTGAACTAACATATGAATATAAATGCACCTTTACAGGCACATCATGCTTATAGACACAAACACACACACAGAGCTTCCAACATCATTGGGAAACCCAATCCTGGACAGATAAAACCAAATCTAGAGAGAGATACACAGGTACACACACACACACAGGAACATAGATCACGGAGGTACACACACATATACACACAGCTCCATAGACCACAGAGGCATACACACACAGGTCCACAGATCACAGAGGTACATACACACCCACATATACACAGGTCTGTGAGTCCATGGGTATATGCATATATCTGTGTATCCCTGAGATCTGTAGACTTGTATGTGTGTGTACCACTGGGATCTATGAATCTCTGTTATGTATGTGTGTGTGTATACCTCTGTGATCTATGGACATACACACACACACATACACCCAGCTCCACAGATCACAGAGGTACACACACACAGGTACACACACATAGATAGGTTCATAAATCCCAGAGCTACAAACACACACATACATACACGTATGTGCAAAGATCATAGAGATATACAGACATTTACACACAGATCCATAGATCATAGAGGTGCACATACACAGGTATACACACACATATGTTCACAAATCACAAAAGTACACTTACTCGGGTCCATAGATCACAGAGGTACACACACACAGCAGAGATTCATAGATCACAGTTGTACACACACAAGTTTACACATCCCAGATGTACACAAACATATACACACACTCATGCACACATAAATATGCCTACAGGGGCCACAACTGCACAATTTCCCAGAGAGGGTGAGGCATGTTATGTAGGGATACATCTACAGTGGGGCCTTCTCAGCTCCCCACTGAGTCGAGATTTCCTCATGCAAGTTCATTCATATAAAAGTAGATTCTGAAAGAATATCTAGATGCCACTAATTTGTCACCCAGAGGCTACACATTCATGTTCTGTGTCTAGGTGACTACTGTGAACTGAGAACGGATCCTCTGAATTGTTGCTGTTGTTGTTACAGGCCACTGAGTCAGTTCCAACACATAGTGACCCTGTATAAGGTTTCTGAGGAGGCTGGTTAGCGTAAATTGCTGACCTTGCAGTTCAAACTGACTTTTCAGTCTGGCGCATTAACTCACAGTGCCACACCAGAACTCCTCCTATTAATTAAGAGGATGTAACCCATGCCCCTGCAGCTAACAGATATCCAGCGCAACGTTCTACTCTCCTACCAAAGAGCTTCTGTAGTACTTGTCCATCATATAAATCTTCAGCCAGGTCCTTCACAATGATTCTTTCTCCAACCAGCACATCATTAATCCAGTCAATTAATACCTACAGAGAAAGAGAAATAAACACTTAGCGAGGAAAGAGTCATGGACCACCTTTCTCATGCTGGACAATTACAGTTTACATGAATTTCAGAACTATCCATACAACTTAGTATGTGGACAGGGAGCTGTGAGTTCCAATGGCCGGATCGTTTTCAGGTGTAAGTCCTTTTATTACTCGTGAAACCATTGTCTCTGCTAATATCTTCCAGTCCCTACCATTATCGATCCCAATGGCTACACATTCAGTGTTTGGTGGTGTGGCTTTTTACCAGTCAAGAGTATGGTCTCTGGAGTTATGTAAATCAATATTCCAAACCCAGATTTACCTGTGTTACTATATGACCCAAGGGAAGCTGTTTTTGAGCTTGCTTTGAGCCTTCGACTCTCTACTCTAAAATCGAGGGTGAGAGTACTTACCTGCATGATTTCCGAGGCTGTAAAGACTCGTGTTTTTCCTGCTGGTGGATTTACACTGCTGACCTTGCAGTTAGCAACCCAACATGCAACCCCCTATGCTACCAGGGCTCCTTACTTACATTAGGTGGTAGAAAAGCATATGGCCAGGACCAAACACTCAATAAAAGGCAGATCGCATTTAAAAACACAACAACAACCACATTCCCCCAGTATGACATTTGAACATTTCTGTGATTGGCAAGGTGATGATTGTCACCCTTATCTTTAGGTGGGGGAATAAAGTGCAGAAGGAAGGGGATTTGCCCAGTCACACACTTGACTGTAGTCAGAGACTGGAATTGAACCCAGTTGATGTAGTTTGAACGTACATGTTTTCCTCGCTGCATCCAGCTGCCTCCCAATGAGGGCCAACGTACCCTCTCCTCTTTCCTAACCTTGTCATTATTGTTGGGTACTATGGAGCCAATTCTGACTTAGAACAACCCCATGTGACAGAAGGGAACTGGCCCATGGTGTTTTCTTGGATGTAATCTTTATGGAGAACACCAGGTCTGTCTCCTGTAGAACTGCTGGGTGAATTTGAACCAACGACCTTTCAGTGCCATTAGGGCTCCTCTGTCTATAACTAAGCAGTTGCCATATCTGAGAGCATATTGTGCTGTGCTGTCTTTGCAACACCTAACAAGCAGGTATCGTTAGCTGTATTTTTCAGGTGAGAAAACAGACGTTTTCCTTTCTTTTGTAGTTTTTCTTCCATTTTTGTTTGTTAAGGTGCTATCTACACATCAACAAAATAAACCAGCTGAAATATACAATTGCATGAGTTTTGGTACTTGCACACAGTTGTGTAGCAACCACCACAATCAAGATACAAAACAGTCCCTTCTTCCCAAAAGGCTTCCTCAGGCCCCTGTGTACTCAGTCCCCTCCCCTGACCATAGGACCCAAGCAACCACGGGACTTTTGCCTTTTCTGCAGTTTTGTCAAAACGGAATCACATGGTCCATAGTCTTTGTTATTTGGCTTTTTCCACATAGTATTAAAAACACAGGTAGTATCCAACCTGGGTTTCCATTGTTGGGTGGCCCACCCTGGAACCTGGGGTTTCACAGCACATTGCTCTACTGTCTCAAGGTAACGCAATGCACACCTGTGACTGAGCACCTACTATTCATCAGACACTCTTCAAGTCCAAGACAGTAAGACAAAGTCTCTGACTTAGAGAAGCAGGCAGGGCAAAGACCTGCTAACTCATGAATTAAAACACACAGAACTTAAATCCTGGGAAGAGGGGAGTTCATGGCTATGGATGGGTAAAGGGGAGACCCCAGGGAGGCTGGGGAAGGACAGAAGACAGCTGGAATCAGGGAGGGTTTCATGGAAGGGTTTGAGGAGAGTCTTAAAAGAAAAAAGAGTTGATTGAGACGTCAAAGGGTCAAAGCAACCTATATCTGGAACACCTAAACTCCTTCTAGGACCTAGGTGGTGGCTTTCCCATGGATGCTAGCTCCTTAGACAGCACCTGGTGCTGTAGCACATGTGTGGCAGCACACATCTCCAATCTTCCACTCCCTCAAAGTGTGCCCTGCGGTAGGTCTGAGTCTGGGAAAATCATGTGATGCCTGAACCATTCTGAGTCTATTGTACAGCATCTCTTTACTCCTCATCCTGGCCTGTGAGTGTCTCCTGACAGGAACAAGCAAAGGGCTGCAGCCTCTCCTAAAACCCTTGTTATTGCACCCTCAGGGCAGAGTTCAACCCAAAGCAGTTCTGTTTTCTTTCTAGAGAAGAAGGCAAGGTTCAAGGTCTTACTGAGATGCGACAGCGCAGACTACTAGATACTTGCCGGTCAGCACCCAGCCACTAAAGCAAGTATGTTACACTCAGTGTTTCACTGAATGTCATCTATGCCATCAAACTCTATGACTTCCATTTAGCTATACCCATGACATATCACTTGACTTTTTTTGGGGGATGCATCTGTAAAATGGTGATGATACTAAGTACTGCTTCACAGGGTGCTTTTAAAGATCCTTGAGAAAAACTGTGAAGGGCTTTGTGAGCTTAGCTGTAGTCATGGCTTTGGTATTTACATCAATCACTGGTCATTTGTCAGACACACTCTTGTATAATCAGTTGTGCTTTACATAAAGACCCATCTAGTAGTTTATGGGAGTACTGGTATGGAGCTGTAGGATAAGCACTGGACTGCTAGCAGTTCAAACTCACCAACTGCTCCTTGGAAACCCTATACAGGGTCACTATGAGTCAGAATCAACTTGATGGCACTTAATAACACCAATAACAACAACAGCAACAATAAAAAGTCATCTATGAGTTACCAGAAGGCAGAAAATTTCACACCTTTGACCTTCACACAGGCTACTTGTCCTCCGTAGTGGCTTCCATGGTGTCTGCACAAGGAGTCGGTCTAGAGACACCTGCTGTGCCTATGAGGCACCTGACAACCAACCAGCTGGGTGCCATGGAGTCCATTCCAACCCATGGTGACCCCAGGTACGCAGAGTAGAACTGCTCCACAGGGTTTTCAAGGTGTGACCTTTCAAAAACAGATTACCAGGCTTGTCTTCTTAGGCATTTCTGGGTGGCTTTGAACTACCAACCTTTCAGTTAGTAGTGGAGTGTTTCACTGTTCTCACCACTCGGCGAGGCACCTGAGACCTCTCCTACTTTCTTCTTACCTTCATCAGCTCTTGCAGTTTGGGGTCACTGCGTGAATTTGGGTCCACCATCGTACGAACTTCATTCTCCTCTTTAAAAAGAAAAGATATTCAGTTTGATGGTTACACTTGAGGACACTAAATTAACCCAAAGAGGCAGGGGGCAGTTACCGAGCATCGTGTCCTCAGGGTCCAGTTCGAAGGGAATTGGGCTGAGGGGCAGATTGATGGCATTCATCCCTTCCTCCTGAAGCTCCGAAACTGAGAAGACAAGGAAGAACGGAGTCACATTTCAGCAAATATGAGGAGTCCTGGGGCGGCGCTGTAGGATAAGCACTCGACCATAAGGTCTGTTTGAACTGCAGAGTCAGCGGTTCAATCTCACCAGCCATTCCTTGGTAAGCCTATATGGGGTCACTATGAGTCTGAGTCAGAACTGACTTGACAGAACTTAACAACAACAACAACACCTTCCTCTAGGCATGCTTCTGCATCTGAATTCATTTTCAAATCCTATTGTTGTTAAATTGTTGTTGTTGTTGTTAAGTGCCGTCGAGTCGGTTCTGACCCATAGCGACCCTTGTACAGGGTTTCCGAGGGTGTAAATCTTTACGGGAGTAGAAAGCCTCATCTTTCTCCCGCGGAGCGGCTGGTAGTTTCGAACCGCTGACCTTAAGGTTCACAGCCCGATTCGTAACCACTACGCTACCAGAGCTCCTTATTGTTGTTAAATACCATCAAGTAAATGGTACTTGATGGGAGTCCTGGTGTTGCACTATAGGATAAGGACTCAACTATAAGGTCGATCAGTTAGTGGTTCAAACTCACCAGCTACTCCTTGGAAACCCTATATAAGGTTGCTATGAGTCGGAACCAACTCATTGGCACCATCAAGTCAATCCTGACTCATTGTGACCCAATGAGACAGAGTAGAATTGCCCCACTGTTTTCCTAGCCTTGGCATGGCGTTGCAGGATAAGCTTTGGCCTGTGAACCACAAGGTCAGTGGTCCAAACCCACCAGACACTTCTTGAAAACCCTGTACAGGGTCACTATGAGTCACCGGTGCCTAACAACAATAACAACAACAATCTTTACAGGAGCAGCTCTTTTCTCCCATGGAGTCACTGGGTGGATATAAACCATCAACCTTTTTCTTAGCAGTTGAGTGTTTGACAACTGGCATCATGGCTCCTAAAACTCTACAATTCCACCTTCCTTAAGAAAAGTAAAGTCAATGGGATGGTCACTAGAGGCTTCTAGCCTGCTTTTCTCCATATACCCAACCCCCACATGAAGCCTGAGGAAAAGAAAAAATTCCTACCACAAGACCAGTTGTGTGGTGAGTGCTGACCTTGGCTTACTCCTCCTGAAAGCAGAGACTTAAATCCCCCTTCGTCTGCTAGACTCCCGTTTGGATAATTACTTTTCACCAATTAAGCGCAGAAAAGCCATTTTCTCTGAAGGTTTTGGTCACCGAAAGGTTCTTAAAGAGCGCATACAGCAGCTGCAATCAACCTTAATAAAAGCAATGTCCCATCGTTCCATTTTATTTTTTTTTATTGACTCTGGCCTCACCAGTTGCCAGCATATACTTGCAAGAACTCTTAAGTACAAGGCAGCCACTTACAAAGAGCTCTTTCACATTAGCAAATTCAGTGATAGTTGCAGTTGGACAGGGAACGAGATTGCCTAACAAAGAGAGTGAAACACAACTCTGCTCTACTGAGACACAACTCACCTCATGAAGCTGGCATTTAGTCATGTGGCAGCGGCCCCTTGACATTTATATGGGCTCTTAGCCCATCACCATCTTGAATACTCAAATTGACAAACATGCTCCATTCCCTAAAATTCTCCTTATGAGACATAACTGAAAAATAAAAGTTGCTGTTACTGTTAAGTGTCGGTTGAGTTGGTTCTGACTCATAGCAACCCTGTATAGAGTTTCTGAGGAGCAGTTCAAACCGACCTAGAAGTTCAGTGCATATCCTACAGCGCCACACCAGGACTCCTAAAAACATACGACACCTTGAAAACCTAAAGGATGCTATAAATATAGGATTGTATGTGCATTTGTTTTCTAGCTAGAAACAATTATTTCCTAATTATTACTGCTACTGTGATTTCTTTTCACGTCCCTCCTAGAAGGATCTATTGCTTTCTTTTCCAGGTTATTTTTCACAAAGAGGCAAAGTTTTCATTTGTAATGGTTATGAATCGGGCTGCGAACCTTAAGGTCAGCAGTCTGAAACTACCAGCTGTTCCACAGGACAGAGATGAGGCTTTCTGCTCCCGTAAAGATTTACAGCCTCGGAAACCCTGTGCAGGGTCGCTATGAGTCGGAACCAACTCTAAGGTACTTAACAACAACAACTGTGTATTTGGAGTCCTAGTATGACGCTATGGGTTAATACACTGGATTGAAGGGTTGGTTTGAACCACAAGGTCGGCGGTTCATGCTCATTGACCGTTCCTAGCAAACCCTATGTTTCACTATGAGTCCAAACTGACTAGACAGCACTTAAAAACAGTAACTGCGTAAGTACAGAGTCACAGTGTGGTGTTGCAGGATCAGCACTGGACTGCTAACCACAAGGCTGGCGGTTCACCCCTACCAGGCACTCCTTAGAAACCTTATACAGAGTCTCTATGGATCGGAACCAACTCAACAGCACTTAACAACAACAACAAAACCTGTGTATGTTAGGAGCCCTGGTGCTTTAGTGAATTACAAGCTGGACTGTTAACCACAGGGTCAGCAGTTCAAATCTACCAGTTTCTCCATGGGAGAAACATAAGGCTTTCTGCTCCCATAAAGATTTATAACTTCGGAAACCCCATACAGGGTAGCTATGAGTTGGAACCGATTTAGTGCCACACAACCACCACCAGTGTGTATGCAGCAAGCAGTAGAACAAAGGCCTGCTTAAATGGAGATGTACAGCTGCTCCAACTGGCCAGCCAGGATACTGGCTCCTGCACAGGATGGTCTGGCCTCTCTAGCTACACTCTTTCCCTAGGCCTGCACAGTCCAGTTTGGTAGCCACTAGCCACATGTGGCTATTTAAATTGAACTACATTAACACTATACATTCAAATTACAAATCAGGTCCTCAGTAGTGCCACCTAGACTTCCAGGGCTGAAGGACTCACATGTGGCAAATGGCTACAGCACTGGAAAGCATAGCTGTAGAATGTTTCCATCGGTGGTCATACTGATAATGCCCACATTTAACTCTTCAGCTCAGAATCTGAGCTCCACAGTTACCAACTGAATTGTCTATTAGTAGACGTCAAGTTTAGATACCTAAACAAAGTACTTTTATTTCAACACCCATGCTTCTACCATTTAGAAACCAAGATAAGACCTGATTCCCCCCCATTTTTAACAGCAAAAGGTCATTAAAAAGAGAGGAAGGAAAGAAAAGACCAAACGGATGTCAGAAGAGACTCTGAAACTTGGTCTTTAATGTAGAAGAGCTAAAGCGAGTAGAAGAAATGATGAAGTAAAAGAGCTGAACGGAAGTCACACTTTAAAGATGTGTAAACCTCTCTATAACCATACACTGGAATGGAATCTAAATAGAAATCTTGGGCCAGGTGACGTTTTTTCCCCCCTAAGTTGGAAATGCTGTCCAGAAACATGTTCATGTGCACACGCACATGTCCAAGCACACAGGGTCTGGCCATGACAGACAATGTTTTTTGTTTTTACTTCACAAAAACACAATAGAACCTTTCTTTGAATATTATACACGGCTTTGGCAAATTCTGCCTCAACTGAGTACTTATGAAGTTAAACAGTAGCTTTAACAGTCTGGATCATTCATTTATTCAGCATCTATTTCTTGAGTATTTACTATGCATTGTTGTTGTGCTAATAATAATATTTTAGGACTTAGTCTTTTAGGCAAGAATAATAATAGCATATATTTGCATAGCTCTTACCGGATGCCAGATACTGTCCTCGTGTTGTGTATATTTTAACCAGCTGAATCTTCTCAATCTTTCTCCTGTTGCATCACGTTGAATCCAACTCTTGGAGATCTTGAATTTGGAGGCATATCACCAAATACTTAACGACAATAATAAATAAGGATTCCAAAGAGCAGCTGGTGAGTTTGAACCACCGACCTTGTAGTGAAGTGCTTATCCTACAGCTCCACACCAGAACTCGATTCTTCCTTTTGGTTAGCAGATAAGCACATTAACTGTTTACATCACTTAGGGATCAACTCTCTCCCATCCTAGGAGGTATGTATAAACACATCTCATTTTATTGTACTTGGCTTTACTGCACTTCACAAATACTACAGTTTCTACCAATTCAAGGTTTATAAGACAACCCTGTGTCAAGCAAGTTTATCGGTGGCATTTTTGCAACAGTTTATTCTCACTTTGTGTCTCTCTGTTGCACTTAGGTAATTTTCACAACATTTCAAACTTTTGCCTAATGCTACTGTAAACTGAACAAACTATGTTGTTGTTGTTAAGTGCTGTTGAGTCAATTCTGACCCACAGTGACCCTGTATAGGGTTTCCAAGGTGCAGCTGGTGAGCTTGAAGCTCCGACCTTGCAGTTCAAATGACTTTTCCATTAGCCCACAGCAGAATAAACTATAGTCTACTGTAAAAATGGAGTCCTGGTGTGGCATTGTGGGCTAATGCGCCAGACTGCAAAGCCATTTGAACTGCAAGGTTGGCAGTTCAAGTTCACCAGCTGCTCCTTGGAAAACCTGTACAGGGTTGCTACGGGTCAGAGTCGACTCAACGACACTTAACAACAACAACTGTAAAAATAATTTTTATGTGCACTGGAAAACCAAAACATTTGTGTGACTATCTGTACTGCGAGATTTGCTTTCCTGCAGTGGTCTGCAAAAAATCTATAGTATTTCAGAGGTATGCCTGCAATATTATTATTACTCCCATTTTGCAGAAGAAAAAATGGCAGCATATGAGCTTCATGAATTTACCCAAGGTCACCTACCTAGTCAGTAGCAGAGGCTAGAGTTTAATCTATGCAGTCTGGCTCCTAAACACTGCCCCATCTGCCCTCTTTGGGGTTCTAATGATGAACAAAGAAGAAGACAGCCAGCCCTCACAGAGATTACATTCTGGGAGGAGGAAATAACAGACATTTGCACAATTAATTATTTCAGACTGTGACAAGTGCTATGAAGAAAATAAAACATGAGAATGAGAAAGGGTCCAAATCAAGGGTCTGGTTTGTCAAAGTGTGGAGTCGGGATTTAATTC